GACGTGCTGAATCCGGTTGTAAATCTTTCAAAATTAAAACAGAAACACTAAATAAATGATTGCATAATCTTTTATGAATCAACTTGAACCAGTCTGAGTTCCCTCATTGTGTCACTTCACTTTGCACAAACAAATATTAAAGTAATGAGGAAAACCTTGGTAAAAATTTACTCTCATAACCTAGTTATGGGAAGATGTAAAGGTGAGCTATTTGCATAAATAACTCATCCCTTACACAGGGAGTTTCCAACATACATTTTTTCATCACATTACTTATCACATTTCTTGACATGCATAAATAGTTTTTTCAACGTTGTGGTTGTCAACACCGGTTCAGCTTTTTGATTTAGAATGATTTAAAACCCTATCACACTGTAACCTATTAGACATCTAATGCCATCATGAGAAGATTTTGTTTTATACAACAAAGTACAAAGAGAGCTAAGATTATATTATGTTTTAGCATGGCTATGGTTCTAAATGCATTTACTGTATTTATTTAGTAACTATCATGTTTTCAGAAAGTGCAGTATATTGCATGGAAGCAGAAGTAAAACAAACAGCACAACTAAAACTATACAGGACTGCTTGTTCTGTTTCTTGAGTTTTAAAAATTTGTTGAAATTCCTGTTTTAGTGTTGTACACTTCATCATAAAGTTCAATAAATAAGTTGATATGAATGAGCATCTTCCAGGAGGCCAGAAGCTTTAGCTGAGAATAACCATGTTTCCATCAAGGTTTTTGATGCACATTTAGAAGTATCGCATTAAACATGTGAAAAAACGTTGGATGGAAACAGCAAAATTCGAAAAAAAAATCCTCAATTGGCTAAAAGGTTTTTACACTCGCTTGAGGTGGTTTTTGGATGATTGGCAAAGTAGTTAATGTGCAAAACGGGAGATGTAAACATGTTTGCCAAATAAATTTTGATGAAGCGCATATTTACCTCACGTGARGTTCAGCTGTTTCCACTTTCCTGCCTCGTCCCTCGTCCTCGCCTTTCTGCTGTGTAGTTTAACATTGTGTTTATTTCCCTACGTCTCCTGGCAGCGTTAAACATAGCCTGTACTAGCTGAATAGATAGAATAATTACAACTTGCCCAATAGCAAGGCATTCACGTAAAAATCGCTCCATTGTCCCGAGATGATTAGCCTCTGC